CAAGTCAGGCAATTGTTGTTTCAAGACGTGTTCGGTAATTATAGAGACTTGAGCTCCAGTATCCCATAGGGCTGTTACTTTCAAATTATTTAGGCAACAGTTAACAGAACATTTTCTACCAACTAATCTTGCAACCGCAGCTTGCTGTTTAGGGGTTATATGACTAACAAAAACACTAGAGTCACAACCATCACCAAGTCCTTTGACATGTTCTCCCTGTGGCTTTGGTAAGCCCTGAATAGTTTTACAAAGTGATTGGTGGTCATTCCAATGTCTCTTCTGACACGCTTCTGGCTGCACCTTCAGCAGGATGGTTACTGGGGTAGTCTTTGTCATCAACTTTCTTCTGGAGGCTTGCCACTTCCGATTGAACAGTGTTCAGTTCTGACTGTATGGCCTTGAGTGTAGCCAGGATCTGATTTTCCCGCTGGTTACTTGGATTGTTTTCCTTCGGTTCACCGCTGGCCCCAGCTTCCACTTTTGATATCTTTGTCGACGGTCTAACCGGTTTACCTTGTGTAAATTTGTTAGCTCGCTCCGATTCTGCTGACATAGCTAGGCTCATCGCTTCGATTAAATCTTCGTCAGCCACAGAAGGATTCTTTAACAGGGGTCTGATCTTTGCACGAATAGTCTCATCCGCTAGGCCAGTTTCGACAGCATGAAGGAATAGTCCTTGAACCAATTCTTCATCATACTTAATTTTACTGTCCGATTCCTGTGATGCAAAGACAATCTTTTGTCGAGTGGTCAAAGCGCGAATAAGGAACGACTGCGGGTCTTCCTTTGGTGATTGGCTAATATTCGCTAAGAGCTGGTATAACTCAGTGGCACTCTTCTCCTGAAAATGGAAAATGGAAACGGAGCATTTTACGTAGTTTTGGCAGTGTTAATCCACTCAGTCCCTCCAAGTAGCTGCGTAGTTGTGATCCAGCTTGAATGGAGCGAATAACTGCAGTAACTACTTCGGGCTCTGTATAGCCTTTCTTTAACCCGGTTTCAATCTGCGAGATTAACGACTGATAGGTCAATTTGTCTTTCTGTCCGGGTTCACCAATCTGACCTTGTATCTTAAACTCCCTTCGAAAAATACTTGCATTAAGACCAGACAGTTCAGTTTCACCACTGGTACTTGCTTTGGCTTCGGGCTTTTCGGTTGGTTTATTCGACAAGTTAGGGCAAGTTCTAATAGTTGCATCTTCTGTTTTAATTCCTCTTGTGCCTTTGACAATTGTTCGTATTGTGTCTCGAGTTCTACTAGTTCTTGTTTATTCTTCTCGGCTTTCTCTGTGTCTTCGTTACTTTTGTCTAAAGTTTGCTCATACAAAAGCGATTTAATTTTTTCCACTAGGTCTAAAAAACCGTTTTCTTTACACTCGCTGGCTTCGTCTTCAAAAGCAGTGCAAATAGTCTTAATCAGTTCGAATTTCCCTTTGCCTTCTGTTGTCTCAACTGTGAGCCACTTCCTTTTTATACCAAAATCTTTTAAATTTGTTATATTTAAACCGAGTATACAAGACTGGAGTTCTATCATAACTTCTTCATCCATTTTGAACCCAATTCAATGAAATATCCAACAAATATTCGACAATAAACACTCTCAAATCTCAAAGTTAATTTAAAATATACGCGTACCTTCGCTACATTTCTTCGATGAAACATACGCCAAAAATCACTGTATTTCCATATTTTCGTCTCGGTGGGACCTCCAAAATGTTACTCGATACTACACACGATGTTTTATGACTTTTATCGTTTTATTATGTATAGAATCGCTTCAAATATGTTTATAATACTAAGATATATTCTAGAATAACACTAGTTCAAAACGCAACGTTTCTCGAACGTATTCTGAGCACGCGAGGCGCGCCGCTGGTCGCTCGTACCAGTCTCTAAACTGTTCGCATATATTATCGTTCATTACGGTATCAGTGGCAGCTCAAATAGGATTAGAGCTTATTAAGGTGAGGATGTATCATGACAATATGTTGTTAAACCTCATTATGGCTCAACCAATTCAAATGGCTCGACCAATTCATGTCTCTAGGTGGCATGACTTTGAGATTTGCTTGTGTGAATACAATTTTTTGCTTAGTACCTTTGTTCCAGCAAGCCCATGCATATGCTTGCCTCAACAGTGTCACATAAATTGAAACACCAAGCAAGCTATTGTAGCTGTAATCAATTGGGGCTATGTCCTGTATGGCCACCATTTGCTAATGTAAATACTTTAATAACAATAAAGTGATTAAAAAAATATGGCTAATCTAGGCTGGGTTAACTCCATATAAACAGACCAAAAGTAAGCTGTCAGTCTGTCATAGAGTGAAAGACATCTTCCAAAAGCTTTTTTTACAAAGCTCAATGTCATGATAGCAAAAATGTTATTATAATACAAGAAAATGGAACATACCATAGTTAATAGAATAGATGGTTTGGAAAGTCATTAGAATAACAATATATATACCTCATTATCTACAGGTATGTTAGTCAACGTTTACAGAGGTGTAACTTAACACTTGCCCGGGGCAAGTGAATATCATGACGGGCAAGTAAACGTTTTATCTTGCCCGATTGGGCAAGTTGCCTCTTGCCACAAAAAGCTCGGCTTTCATTATCGGATAATTTTTTTTATGGCGCATGTACTTGATTCAAATTTTGTTTTTTGTGGGCCAAAGCTAGATCTAAGGCAGTATAACATAGCCACATAGAGAATGAGTCGACATGTTGCCCCCTTGATTTATACCCCCTGGCAAATGAATTTTATTCAGGGCAACTAATTTTCATGTCCAATTAACTTGCCCTGAGAGCAAATGGTCAAAAAAGTAAAGTTACACCACTGGTTTATTCATAAATCTGGTTTCTGTATTTTTGCCCAACTAACCAATAGCAATGTCTTAGGAAAGTTACCTATCCGTAACTCGAACAATAGGGTAAATTGAAAATTGCAAGAATACAAGGTGGATTTGGCAAGAATACAATACACACATGAGGATGAAGGACCAGATTTATGAATAAACGTTGACTAACATAAATAATGAGTTTGAGAGTTTCAGCCAAACCATCTATTCTATTAACTGTGATGGAACTCGTTATGTGCAGATTTACTAAATGGATGAGCTAATTTGATTGAAGTCAACTGCTACTAATGGGCAATGGTCTATTTGTGTTAATAAATTACCTAGGTGACTAGGTCTAACATTTTATACTAAACAACAAAATAGGACAGGTCTAACATTTATTAATTAAACAACAAGTATATTGTGCTCCTTATTCATTGTTAACAAATATTTGAAAGAAAAATAGCCTATTCACATTGTAAGGCTAAAATTATGTACATAATTTCAGTAATAAATAAAATAAACAACTTTACCAAGGACAAGTCAAGTGAGTCTTTGTGGATATAGACCATATAGTGACAGTCTTTGCAATTTCACATCAAGGTGAGGCCAAAAACCCAAAAGTTGGCGCAATAAAGAATAGTAGATTAGTTCCTGATTATATACAAACATGTATTATTACCTTTTGCATTTTAATATTGTGAAAAAATATCTATATTTTTATTTCTGTACGTATATTTTCCTCAGAAGAATGATAAAAATGCGTAATACCGCGTGCAACCCCCCTGCTAAGAGACTTGAACTAGTACAATAATTGTATATAACATGAAGTTTCCTGAACAAAATGGCGGAAATTTTAATAAAATATGTTGATGTTTGATCGTAAAATACAAAAAAACTGCAGGTTTGTGCGAGTGACAACAAGTGAATTCGTACTCAGCGTATAAAAATGTATAGATTCGTGTGAATTTAAAGTAGTGCCCGAAGGGGGGCAACAAAACTGAACGAAAAGCGGTCAGGGAATACGGCCTAAGAACAGTGAAGGGTAAAAAGATGGCCCTAGTTAAGTGGTTAGGTTATGATGACAAATTTAACAGTCGGATACCAGCTGGAGACATCAAGTCCCTAACATAAGTTAAAGTATTATGGAGGACTATGATGACATTGAGTTGGAGGATACGGAGAAGACGTATCCTCAATACGACGACCTCAGTTATGATGACCTAACGACAGCTTTTAGTAGGTTAGATACAAGGGTGAGGGGAGAGGCTATGTATGGTGATGACCCTTTAGTAATAACTGATCTTAAAAGTGAACTAGACTATGTGAAGAATCTCATGGAGAGACGTGCAATAGCAGAAACAACTTTCACCGAAGGAAATGATGGTACAGTGAACATTTCAGGTCCATCAGGAAGCACAACCGTTCAAGAAGTCGACTTCGTGGAAGACCCAAACAATTTACTTCCAGATGTGCTAGATGCATTCAACGAATCATTTGACACTGACTGGGATGAAATAGAAGCCCGCCTAGAGAAACTAAATAAGATTTCAACAGCAAATAAAAAGAGAGATTTCGAAAACCAAGTAGAGCGTGTTCAAGCTGTCACAAGAGTTATCAAGGGTAAGGAGGGACTAATACTAGACCCTAAGAATAAATATGTCAGGGAACTCATCAAACGATCATCTGTAAGAACACTCAAGGATGGCACAGAGGTGTTGGTATTTAGAAGTGAACAGGGTATTAGTAAAAGTGGGACACAAATAATAAAACGTGGTAAGACCAAGATTCCCGTGTACTCAAAGGACTAACCTGCTCTGAGAGAATATAAGGTCCTTATAAATAAAATGAAAGAGGTACCTACGGATCCCGACAATATAATTGCAAGTGATGAATCAATTTACGAGGATACTAAAGAAGAGCCGCAATTTGATGAAAGTAGTGAGGAATACGCTGACCGAGAGAACATTGAGTTAACACAACTAGGAGACCTTCCAGGGCTAACAAAACAAGAAAACAATGAACTGAGAGGTGTTCTTAACCCACCTGATGGATCAAGTATAGAAGGCAGAACAGGTCCCAATGGAGCGTTACAAGTTCAGGCTGACTACTTTAATGAAGCTATTGGTGAAACCGTGGAACGCGCCACGTCAGCGGAAGGTACAACTGAGTATAATGCTTTTATAGAAAGAATTAACAGTTTGAAGGAAGCTAGAGATCGAACCCTAGAACAGAGAACAGTAGAGGAAGCAAGAGAGGCACAACTAAAGGACATTTCTAGATTACGCAGATTTATAGACTGGGTAGGAAGGAAAAGGTGGGACTTGTAGGGATAGCAGTGTCAACAGCTAGTTTAATTACAGCCTTATTAATCCATGCTAGGGGAGCCATTGTGAAGACAGCAAAGGCCACTGGTAAAGTAGCAAAAGCATTAGCAAATTTAGCAAAGAAAGCAGGGCCAATTCTAGTTCCAATTCTGAACACCATTGCAACGGCGCTATCATGGGGAGCCAAAGGAATTGCTTGGTTAGCGTCACACTTATGGGTACTAGCTATAGCTGCAGCCTTAATGGTATACAACTATTACAGCAAGTAAATTATGAGAAATGGCTGAAAGCGTAGAATACAAGGCAGCATGGATGGATAGGGTAAGTACTATTCTTGACGAATACAATAATGAATAATCTGAGATCTGGGAAGGAGACCTAGGAACTGAGGACCTAGATGAGCTGAATATATCATACCCTGGCTATAGGGAAATGAAACCTGAAGATATGGACTCTGAAATAGACATTCTCCGAAGGAAGATAACGGGCTCTGAGCAACCCGAAGAAAAAGAGGATATTGAAAGAGAAATTGAGTACGTAAGTCAGCTAAGAAGAATGAAGACCTGGAAGAATTCAGAAACCGAGGCCTATCTAAACGCAACCCATGGCACTCTCAAGGAAGAGGTAAAAACATTAGTTGTACTCAGAAGAATAGCTAAGGCTGAAGTTAGAAGGAATGACTACTCGGAAAAAATAGAAAAGCTAAAGGGTATTATAGAAAAACTAGGTTTTGATCCCAATAAGCCCGAGGAAGAGTTGGAAGTAGAGGAAGAAGAACGTAGGCAAGAAGAAGCTAGAAAGAAGGAGGAAGAAGAACGCAGGAAGGCTGCTGAGTTAGAACGTATGAGGCTTGCAGAAGAAGCTGCCGAACGTCAGGGAAAAGCTGAGTTTGAGCGTAAGGAAGCTGAGATTAAAAGACACCAGGAATATGTAAAAGGTGATAAGGAGAAAACCGAGTACTGGAGAAAAAAGCTTGAAGAATGGGAAAAAGAGGAGTCTAAACCCAAGGAAATCCCGAAGAAGACTCAACCTGAGGAAGAGCCTAGGAAAACCAAGACAGGAAAACCTTACAGAGGCAAAGGGCCAAAGAAGCTTGATAGAGGTAAGGAGACTGAGGAATCTCTACCTGGGGTAGACACTGAATGGCTAGAGGATACTTTCAACTTTGAGAATATTCTATTCCAAGTCGCAGAGGATACTATCCCAGAAGATGATCAACCTATATTTAGCGGTGATAGTACAGAAATCATGTTGAAGGATGTTAGGGAAGATCTTACGAGGTATGAAAGATTCAAGTCATGGGTTGAAAATAACTTCGGATTTGTGCTTGCAGGTGTTATGGTGTAAGTTGCTGCTCTCCTTACAGCTATTATCATACAGACCAGGAAACTATCCTCAATGGCAACAGACTCTACGCACGGGGGTGAAGGTCCTTCACCCAAACCACTTCCACTTCCTAATATAGTAAGCAAACTGATTAAATTCATATCATCAAACTTATGGGTGGTAGCTGTAGGTATCGGAATAATTTTACTTTACATGAACAGCTAAACATTACATATTGTATACAAGTATGAATACCACAGAAAGAGAACTCCAGCCTGGCTTCAGGAGGAGCCGTATGACATCCGTAAAAGGTCCCAGAACTAGAAGTGTTGTAACATTTAATCCAACAACTATTAGCCCAGGTGAAGAGCTGTACATTAACATCCCCAAATTAAAGCCTGACTCTTGTTTAGTCCCAGGATCGTTTGCACTATTATTTGACTTCAAAAATTCTAGTACAAAAAGCCGTTTCAATAACAACCTAGCTAAGTTGATAGCTAAACGTCTTCAGATCAAAGTAGCAGGTGAAACAGCTTATGACTGTTCAGGAGAGAGTTTGTACGAAATATACAAAGATCTATGGCTAACACTAGGCGACAGAAAGAAGATGACTGAATGAAGAGTAAATTCTAAGTTTTGAAGAGTAAATTCGATATTTTGAAGATTAAATTCTAAGTTTTGAAGAGTAAAATCTAAGTTTTGAAGGGTAAATTCTATATTTTGAAGAGTAAATTCTAAGTTTTGAAGAGTAAATTCAATTTTTTTTAAGAGTAAATCCTAAATTTTGAAGAATAAATTCTAAATTTAGTAGAGCAAATTCTAAGTTTTGAAGAGTAAATTCTATGTTTTGAAGAATAAATTCTAAGATTTGAAGAGTAAATTCTAAGTTTTGAACACCAAATTTTAAGTTTCGAAGAGTAAATTCTAAGTTTTGAAGAGAAAATTCTAAGATTTGAAAAGTAAATTCTAAGTTTAGAAGAGTAAATTCTAAGTTTTGAAGAGAAAATTCTAAGTTTGAAGAGTAAATTGTAAGTTTTGAAGAGTAAATTCTAAGTTTTGAAGAGTCAATTCTAAGTTTTGAAGAGTAAATTCTATATTTTGAAGAGTAAATTCTAAGTTTTGAAGAGTAAATTCAATTTTTTTTTTGAGTAATTCCTAAATTTTGAAGAATAAATTCTAAGTTTAGTAGAGCAAATCCTAAGATTTGAAGAGTAAATTCTATGTTTTGAAGAGTAAATTCTAAGATTTGAAGAGTAAATTCTAAGTTTGAAGAGTAAATTCTATATTTTGAAGAGTAAATTCTAAGTTTTGAAGAGTAAATTCTGAATTTTGAAGAGTAAATTCTAAGTTTTGAAGAGTAAATTCTGAGTTCAGAAGAATAAATTCTAAGTTTTGAAGAGAAAATTCTAAGTTTGAAAAATAAATTCTAAGTTTTGAAGAGTAAATTCATTTTTTTTTAAGAGTAAATCCAAAATTTTGAAGAATAAACTATAAGTTTAGTAGAGCAAATTCTAAGTTTTGAAGAGTAAATTCTATGTTTTGAAGAGTAAATTCTAAGATTTGAAGAGTAAATCCTAAGTTTTGAAGACTAAATTTTAAGTTCGGAAGAGTAAATTCTAATTTTGAAGAGTAAATTCTAAGTTTTGAGGAGTAAATTCTATGTTTAGAAGGGTAAATTCTAAGTTTTGAAGAGAAAATTCTAAGATTTGAAGAGTAAATTCTAAGTTTAGAAGAGTAAATTCTAAGTTTTGAAGAGTAAATTTTATATTTTGAAGAGTAAATTCTAAGTTTTGAAGAGTAAATTCAATTTTTTTTTTGAGTAAATTCTAAGTATTGATGAGTAATTTCTAAGTTTAGAAGAGTAAATTCTAAGTTTTGAAGAGAAAATTCTAAGTTTGAAGAGTAAATTCTAAGTTTTGAAGAGTAAATTCTAAGTTTTGAAGAGTAAATTCTAAGTTTTGAAGAGTAAATTCGATATTTTGAAGATTAAATTCTAAGTTTTGAAGAGTAAATTCGATATATTGAAGAGAAAATTCTAAGATTTGAAGAGTAAATACGATATTTTGAAGAGTAAATTCTAAGATTTGAAGATTAAATTCTAAGTTTTGAAGACAAAATTTAAACTTTCAAAGAGTAAATTCTAAGTTTTGAGGTGTACATTCTAAGTTATGAGGAGTAAACTCTAAGTTTAGAAGAGTAAATTCTAAGATTTGAAGAGTAAATTCTAAGTTTAGAAGAGTAAATTCTAAGTTTTGAAGAGTAAATTTTATATTTTGAAGAGTAAATTCTAAGTTTTGAAGAGTAAATTCAATTTTTTTTTTGAGTAAATTCTAAGTATTGATGAGTAATTTCTAAGTTTAGAAGAGTAAATTCTAAGTTTTGAAGAGAAAATTCTAAGTTTGAAGAGTAAATTCTAAGTTTTGAAGAGTAAATTCTAAGTTTTGAAGAGTAAATTCTAAGTTTTGAAGAGTAAATTCGATATTTTGAAGATTAAATTCTAAGTTTTGAAGAGTAAATTCGATATATTGAAGAGAAAATTCTAAGATTTGAAGAGTAAATACGATATTTTGAAGAGTAAATTCTAAGATTTGAAGATTAAATTCTAAGTTTTGAAGACAAAATTTAAACTTTCAAAGAGTAAATTCTAAGTTTTGAGGTGTACATTCTAAGTTATGAGGAGTAAACTCTAAGTTTAGAAGAGTAAATTCTAAGATTTGAAGAGTAAATTCTAAGTTTAGAAGAGTAAATTCTAAGTTTTGAAGAGTAAATTTTATATTTTGAAGAGTAAATTCTAAGTTTTGAAGAGTAAATTCTGAATTTTGAAGAGTAAATTCTAAGTTTTGATGAATAAATTCTAAGTTCAAAAAAGTAAATTCTAAGTTTTCAAGAGAAAATTCTAAGTTTGAAGAGTAAATTCTAAGTTTTAATGAGTAAATTCTAAGTTTTGAAGTGTAAATTCTAAGTTTTGAAGAGTAAATTCGATATTTTGAAGATTAAATTCTAAGTTTTGAAGAGTAAATTCGATATTTTGAAGAGAAAATTCTAAGATTTGAAGAGTAAATTCGATATTTTGAAGAGTAAATTCTAAGATTTGAAGATTAGATTCTAAGTTTTGAAGACAAAATTTAAACTTCCGAAGAGAAAATTCTAAGTTTGAGGAGTACATTCTAAGTTATGAGGAGTAAATTCTAAGTTTAGAAGAGTAAATTCTAAGTTTTGAAGAGAAAATTCTAAGTTTGAAGAGTAAATTCTAAGTTTTGAAGAGTAAATTCTATATTTTGAAGAGTAAATTCTAAGTTTTGAAGAGTAAATTCTGAATTTTGAAGAGTAAATTCTAAGTTATGATGAATAAATTCTAAGTTCAAAAAAGTAAATTCTAAGTTTTCAAGAGAAAATTCTAAGTTTGAAGAGTAAATTCTATGTCTTGAAGAGTAAATTCTAAGTTTTGAAGAGTAAATTCTAAGTTTTGAAGAGTAAATTCTAAGTTTTGAAGAGTATATTCTACGTTTTGAAGAGAAAATTCTAAGTTTGAAGAGTAAATTCTAACTTTTGAAGAGTAAATTCTAAGATTTGGAGAGTAATTTCTTAGTTTTGAAGAGTAAATTCTATATTTTGAAGAGTAAATTCTAAGTTTTGAAGAATAAATTCTGAATTTTGAAGAGTAAATTCTAAGTTTTGATGAATAAATTCTAATTTCAAAAGAGTAAATTCTAAGTTTTGAAGAGAAAATTCTAAGTTTGAAGAGTAAATTCTATGTTTTGAAGAGTAAATTCTAAGTTTGGAAGTGTAAATTCTAAGTTTTGAAGAGTAAATTCGATATTTTGAAGAGTAAATTCTAAGATTTGAAGAGTAAATTCGATATTTTGAAGAGTAAATTCTAAGATTTGAAGATTAAATTCTAAGTTTTGATACAAAATTTAAACTTCCGAAGAGTAAATTCTAAGTTTGAAGAGTAAATTCTAAGTTTTGAAGAGTAAATTCTAAGTTTTGAAGAGTAAATTCCAAGTTTTGAATAGTAAATTGTAAGTTTTGAAGAGTAAATTCTAAGTTTTGAAGAGTAAATTTTAAGTTTTGAAGAGTAAATTGTAAGTTTTGAAGAGTAAATTGTAAGTTTTGAAGAGTAAATTCTAAGTTTGGAGAGTAAATTTAAGTTTTGAAGAGTAAATTCTAAGTTTTGAAGAGAAAATTCTAAGTTTGAAGGGTAAATTTTAAGTTTTGAAGAGTAAATTCTAAGTTTTGATGAGTAAATTCTAAGTTTTGAAGAGTAAATGGTAAGTTTTGAAGAGTAAATTCTAAGTTTGGAGAGTAAATTTAAGTTTTGAAGAGTAAATTCTAAGTTTTGAAGAGAAAATTCTAAGTTTGAATAGTAAATTCTAAGTTTTGAAGAGTAAATTCTAAGTTTTGAAGAGTAAATTCTAAGGTTTGAAGAGTAAATTCGATATTTTGAAGATTAAATTCTAAGTTTTGAAGAGTAAATTCGATATTTTGAAGAGACAATTCTAAGATTTGAAGAGTAAATTCGATATTTTGAAGAGTGTATTCTAAGATTTGAAGATTAAATTCTAAGTTTTGAGCACAAAATTTAAACTTCCGAAGAGTAAATTCTAAGTTTGACGAGTACATTCTAAGTTTTGAGGAGTAAATTCTAAGTTTAGAAGAGTAAATTCTATGTTTTGAGGAAGAAATTCTAAGTTTGAAAAAGTAAATTCTAAATTTTGAAGAGTAAATTCTATAGTTTGAAGAGTAAATTCTAAGTTTTGAAGAATAAATTCTGAATTTTGAATAGTAAATTCCAAGTTTTGATGAAAAAATTCTAAGTTCAAAAGAGTAAATTCTAAGTTTTGGAGACAAAATTCTAAGTTTGAAGAGTAAATTCTATGTTTTGAAGAGTAAATTCTAAGTTTTGAAGAGTAAATTCTAAGTTTTGAAGAGTAAATTCTAAGTTTTGAAGAGTAAATTCGATATTTTGAAGAGTAAATTCTAAGATTTGAAGAGTAAATTCTATATTTTGAAGAGTAAATTGTAAGTTTTGAAGAGTAAATTGTAAGTTTTGAAGAGTAAATTCTAAGTTTGAAGAGTAATTTCTAAGTTTTGAAGAGTAAATTCTAAGTTTTGAAGAGAAAATTCTAAGTTTGAAGAGTAAATTCTAAGTTTTGAAGAGTAAATTCTAAGTTCTGAAGAGTAAATTCTAAGTTTTGAACAGTAAATTCGATAGTTAGAAGAGAAAATTCTAAGATTTAATTAAATTAAAGAGTAAATTCGATATTTTGAAGAGTAAATTCTAAGATTTGAAGATTAAATTCTAAGTTTTGAAGACAAAATTTAAACTTCCGAAGAGTAAATTCTAAGTTTGAAGAGTACATTCTAAGGTTTGAGGAATAAATTCTAAGTTTAGAACAGTAAATTCTAAGTTTTGAAGAGGAAATTCTAAGTTTGAAAGAGTAAATTCTAAGTTTTGAAGATAATATTCTATATTTTGAAGAGTAAATTCTAAGTTTTGAAGAGTAAATTCTGAATTTTGAAGAGAAAATTCTAAGTTTTGATGAATAAATTCTAAGTTCAAAAAAGTAATTTCTAAGTTTTCAAGAGAAAATTCTAAGTTTGAAGAGTAAATTCCAA